AGAGAGAGAGAGAGAGAGAGAGAGAGAGAGAGAGAGAGAGAGAGAGAGAGAGAGAAAAGAAATTTTCCTTTGTAAGCAACAATTCTGCGAAGATGCGAGAAAGAGCACTGCATACTGATTATACTCGTGGAGGTACAAAATGAGAATGTGAACTGACATAATGAATCAAGAAAGTCATATGACCCATCCAATGCACAAGATAGAACAGCAATTGAAGTAGCTTAAAGCATCTCCAGTAGCGATTAAATGTAGGAGCATCAAAGATGAACACAGAAAGATCATCTTGGATCGCCCGTCCAAAAGATACCATCGAATGGACAAGTGAACCTAAAAGAAAGGAACCCACCGAAACCAAGCTTCGCATTCAAGATCAGATACTCATTCAACATTTATTGAAACGGATAAAAACCCAAAAACCTAATCGGCGAGAACCCAAAACCTTCGGAAGAGAGATCAGATCAGCGATGCGAACGGATTTGAGGATCATAAAGACGAGGAATTATCACCTTCGCAACCGTATAAGGTATTATGCGGGGTACGAAGTGGAAGAGGAGACCGCCGCCGACGCCGCCGATGCCGCAACCTTGGTTCGACGAAAGGATGCGAGTAGGGCGGAAGGAATATAAATGCCACAACGCAAGACCAAATTACTGATTTGCCCTCAAACATCGATCAGAATCACGGAATTGGCGCGATTGCGTATAGGGCTGTTAACGGGCCCTAAATCAAACCCCAACCCGACCCGAGCTTTTGGGTAAGTTCGCTCGGCCCGAACCCAACCCAATATGAAGCGTGTTGTGACTCGAGCCGACACTCGCGTTCGCTTTCGAAGATATCAATCAGTTTAGTCGATAAACACATTGACTATTGATAGAAGAGATTACAGAATCGAATTGGGTCTTTGTCAAAAGAATATGATTTGAAGAGTTATAATGCGAGCCAAGGTAGGTATTTGGAGTTGCAGTAAGGAGGAAGCGTGCATAGGATCGGAATGAGATGTGAAGTGCCAAGTACAAGTGTGCGCCTTAAATATAATACACTTGGTTTTGATCTTGAAATGACAATGACGTTGCTGTTAACCCCGAAACGTCTACTGGATCACGCGTTCAATTGGTGGACGCAGGCGGCAGGAAGAAGAACTCACCATGGCCAACACTGAAAACACCTTGCACCTTTGGCCCTCACCGGCGCACCGACGGGACGTCTTCGTCTTTGTCGGGATCAGATTCACAGGAGCCCCAGCAACCACCACAGCCTTACCATCCTGCAGCACTGGTTCAATTCGAGAGCCCATGCATGGATGGGACCGTCTCATCGTATGCTTCCATCCACCCTCTTCCGGTCCTGCCCGCAATTGTGACCTTGGTGATGGTGGTGGTCCTTGGCATCGTTCTGTTCATTATTGCAGTCTCTCTCTCTCTCTCCTGGCTTCAGTCCAAAAGCCTCTTTCAAGCTAGGACGTCTGTGTTGTCTGCTGGGATGAGCTTGCATTCGTCCAGTATGATTCCAAGGGCCAGCCCAGATCAATGTTGTTTCCCCTCACTGCTCATTCATGAAGTTTACCGCTGAAACGAGCAGTATTCTTTTTTCTTCAAGGACTCGCCCGGAAAAGTAAATAGTTACACTGGTGGCTTTTCGATTGTTGTTGACAAGTACAGGTAGGACTTATAATTTGCAGGATAGGAACAAGAAAGAGGACATGGTAAGGACCCAACCGGCGATGCATTTATTGTCCGGTCCAATAGTAAATGTCCTTCCTGTGAAAGCACACATCTTCGAGGGGCAACAGCAGGTTGATCGATTTCTCAGAAGCTTGGAAGTAGATGGATTCTGCTGTCTTAGATATAAACGAATGAACCTGATCTCGTCTATCGATTTGGACTTTCAAAAACGATAGCAAAACAAGGATCTTGATCTGATAGATGATTATTGCGGAGGGAGATGGATCTCTCTTTTTTCATATATTGTATGTACTCTGTAAAGACGAAATCGAGACAATGAATTGGACCTTCAGCCAATGAACAGATTGATGTGAATGGTATCTTTCGGCAGGCGACAAACTTCTGCAAATTCCACGAACAGTTCCCGTCAGCAATCATTCATATTTTAAGCATCCGGCCATTGCAGACCCTCTTTAATCTGCACAGCCGTGGCTCCATGAAGACTAAATATACAGTGCGCATCCCCCGTCCATTTAAAATGCATCTTGTCAGGTGGAAACTCTAATACAATATCCCATGACTCTCTTCATTTTTCGCTTATTCTTAGGTCAAGTTTCAGAGTATTCTATGTTCGCGTAACCCACTGTGTTTCTTTTGGACTGTTTGCATGCTGCTCGTGGACACACATGCACCACCCTGTTTCAGCTGAGGATTACATGAGTAGCGACACCATATCGAATGAATAGAATATGGCAAGGAGGAGAAGTGTCACGAGAACTGCATCGATCACATGATACCGAAGGGAAGCAGCCCTGAAGGCACCTTTGCTTCACCAGCATGAAGGACGGGACGAGTTCATATTTGTATTCGGAAAATGCTTTGAGATTGGAACAAGAGGAGAGAAGGCCAAAGGTGGTTGATGAGGCTTGTCCACATCCATACGGTAAGTCGCTACTTTCTTTATTCAGCCAGGGGAACGGTGAGAAGAGTGTTGGGTAAAAGCACACAGCTTCTTTAATCTTCCGTCACGAGGACTCCGAGACATCAGCAGAAGCTGTGGGTGATTGCTTAGCCTTCTTCTTCTTCTTTCATCTTCTCCGCCAAAGGAGGAAGAAGAGGTGGGGCTTCATAGCCTCCACCAGAGTGGAAAATGACGACAGGATGCAACGCAACTGATGCCATAAATGAGATCCTAATTGCTTTGCCCTCTCGCCCACTCCATGACCCGTCCAAGAAAATTTGATGTCATGGGAGTCTCTGCAGACATTTCAATTGCGTAAGGCGATTGACTGTAACATCGCATGAGCCTTTCATACGGACAACCCGCCTTTTCTTTTCGCGAGAGCAATAATTGCAAACACGAAGCAGTAGTACCTCTCGAATTTTATGTGCTGTCCTGTGTGTCAGTAACAATCAACCTATGAGTTCAGGCTTGTATGAAACTTTCATGTCCAGTACACGGTACTATTAATACCGAGAAGAAGCCATTTGCAGATGAGGTGTGAAGCATCAGGCCCATGTCGGATGCCCATCATGTCACATGCATGCATCGTGTCTCTTCCGGCTGTTACTTGCATGACATGCGCCTCCATTCCCTGCCGCGACCATCCATCCACCAAATGGCTCCGTCAAAGGCATGAGCTCATGATGCATCACCGTGATCCAATCCCTCTCTTGAATATATAGGGAACATTAGTGTCAACATTAGCTGTTGATCGAGTCACAGGAGAACACTGCCACCTTGGTGTCCCCCCATGTCATTGTTCTCTCCTACATAATGCCCATATAATACCGGAGTAGTTGCTATGCCCACCCATCCATCACTTGTCCATGGCACACAAACAGTGGCAGGACCCACAGGATCTTTCCTCTTCCCTCCTATGATGACCTGCTACTACGGTAAAAGAGGATTGCCTAAGTGACAATAGTGACCATGGAATGCATACAGTAATCCAAGCTAGCTTGAGGGTACAAATGTCTTTATATCACCAGGTCAATAAGCCCAAAGGAAAATTCATTCTGTTTTGATAGCAAGTGAGTGCTTTAAAAGAAGTGAAATATTTTGATAGCAAATCAAGCCGCCTATTGACGGTGAGGAAACGATGCACTAAGATAACAACATCCGTTAAGGAAGAAAGAAGCGGAACCGAAAAGAACGTATCGGTTGCTGTGATATGTTTACGATATAAATACTCGGATGAAGCAGTTCTTGGCGGAGTGGCATACAGGACACGCGTCGACCGTCGACTCGCAGACCTTGCATAAGCAAAGGTGCCTACAGGGGAGCAGCAGAACGCAAGCCTTCCCATGCCCGCACGCCTGGCAGGTCCCCTTCCGACGCCGGCGAGCATCGACCTCCAGAGGCGCCGGAGCATCCGCGAAAGAGCCCGAGTGGGCATCATCGTCGGTGTCACCGTAGCCCTCCTGGGGTTCGGGGACAGCGGCGGCTTCCCGGAGGACCTGCTCGAGGCTGGCCTGCAGGTTGGCAGCGACCGTCTCGTGGTTCTTGGCGACGCTGCTCCACATCTGGATCTCTGCGCTCACCTGCCGTATCCTCTCCTCCAGCTCCGAGTTCCTCCGCCGCGCTTTCTCCAGTTCGACGTCCTTCTCCCTCAGCCGCTTGGCAGCATGTTGCTCCCCCCTCTGCAGCAGCGTCCAACAACGACTCCTCCACGCCTCGTTCAATCCACCCCGCAGTCGCTCGCTCTCCAGATAGTTGGAAGAAAAAGATTTAGACTTCAAGGAAGGAAGGGAAGAAAGAACCGATCGAACCTATGCAGGAAGGGAGAGGGAGAAGGTGGGGATGGAGATGGCACCTGATGACGAACGAGGGCGTCGATCTCGATCTCCTGGGTTAAGAGATGGGATACAAGGTCTTGTGTGAGAAGGGAAACGGGACGGCCACTGGTGGAGGTACCGCCAGACTCGGCCAAGCGGCTGTGCTGACAGCCAGAGGGGGTGACGTTGGCGGCGATCGAGCTCAACGGAACCAGCCTGTTCATGAGGTTGGGGTAGCGGAGCCGCGACTCGAGGTTAAGCTTGTAATCCTGGGAGGGTTGCTGCAGCGCCACGAGCAGCTCGGCCTCCCGCGGCCGCTTCCTCGGCCCGGAAGCATTGCAAGATAGCTCGCTATTGGGGTCGCTGAACACCGTGCCATCGTTGACGCCGCCAGGACGGCCGGTGTATACCCCAAGCATCTTGCGCTGGTCCTGCACCAGATGGAGTTCTTCCATAACATCGTTCCCGGCCCTGCGATCAAATATATACATACGATGGATCGGTAACAAGACTTCCTAAACCGTGATGAGGTGCACAACACATGCAGGGTAAGGAATCCCATGCACATGAAGAGAATAAAGGAAGCGCTCTGGAGCGAGGAAGGCTGGCTTACCAGCTGCGGAAGTCCGGCGAGAAAGTACTGTTGGAGAGATGCTGCGCTTGCACGGCCATATTCCTCGTGTACGCAATGACGGTCTGCTCGCGGAACGAAATGTGGGGGGAAGGCGTGGGGTGGTGTATTTATACACACATGAGAACCAGTAAAGACCAGCATGATGTAAGTAGATCTGCATAAGGTCTGGTTTGGATATTATGATTTGGTGTGATTTCTTATATGGTCTATATATAACTTATTATATATGTTGCAGAACATATATCATTTGTATTATACAAACTAAATCGAACCATATACTTTTTAATGGGGACTGCTGGCGTCAATAAACATATAAATAGCGTCATATGTCATCATCATCTATGCAAATTTGCAGCTGAGGCTGGTACACGTTCGTGTAACGCAACACAGCCACGCCCACGTCCCGTCGCCGGCGGGAGCGCGTCCGTGTCTCGGCAATCACGGAAGTGTGGTTACGGTGGTGGTTCTGGCTCACCGATCTCCAAGATATCTCGGCCCCCGTGGGTGGTGGTCTCAGGATGGGGCGGGCTGCTGCCCATCACTAGTCCTTTCAGTGCATCTCCTGATCTCTTCTTTTCTTTTCCCTCACCACCTCCTGATCACTAGAATATAGCAGGCAGGAATGGAAGAGAGAAAGATAGTCATCTGCGATCACAGGAAACAGTCATCAGCACTGATAGTGTCGGATCTGGTGTCAAATCTCTATATATAAGTACACAAACTGCAGCGAACAACAGTGTCGCCCACTCTCTCTATCCCTCTTCTGCCTGTGCTTTCGTCTCATCTACTGTTCATCCTATACCGTGAATAGTATGCCATCGGGATCCTTTCGTCCGCAACGTAGATGAAAGTTTCAGCTTGGGAAACCTGCTTGCTTTGGAACGGGTGAAGTTCTACTGCTCTGCTGCAGCTTTTCTTTTCCCTCCATATCAGCAGTACAAGTCTTGTTCACATCATATATCTCGACATTACTTTGGAAGATCACAAAGTTTGAGGACGACCCGTTCTCACATCTCGTCTGAAGTCATCCAAACTTTGTTTGAGGACTTGATCGAATGGGGGTAGCCGTGACTTAGCGCAAGGGCTTTTGTCACCATCACTCCTGTTGCATTCCTAGAGAAATCTCTCTCTTCTTCTGCCTGTCTGCTTTTTCCGACGTATTCTTTCGTGGTTGCTTCATCATCGCATGTGAGAGATGGACAACGACTCTGATGCAGGTGACTATGTCGATGGGAACAAACGAGCCAAAGATTACATTAATCTCTCTCTTGACCTCAATGTCGCTCTTTTGTCTTGGTTTATCTGATCTAGACAGTGCCAGCTCTAAAAGCTTGCCTCTTCCAATAGCCTTTTTTGCTCCGAACGTAGCTACAAAGGAGAAATATAATATATAGGATGACATTAATTGACTTTTGGAGATCTGGAGAGCAAGCGAGCTACTTCTCTCTCAATCCCATGGGCCACCTAACCTCATCGAGTGCATCACATGTCTGATGAAGAGGTTTTAGTAAGATGTAGGTGCGTGTCTTTGACATGAAGGGGGTTTTGGAATACCATATTCTGTGGCCCAATGCCTTCAAGGCAAGGTCAATGGAGGATGGCTACATAGATTATAATAGCTAATAAACACCAATTATGGTGGATCTTGCAACATCTTCCTAGGGACAGTGACCATGCACCTTTTAGGTTCTTCCCAGCCCTAGAAGGTTGAAAGTTCCTTTGTTTTATAGATTGTTGGTGCTTGTGTGTTGAACTACACTATTCAACTTTTGCTACTGGTGCTGTAGATCCTTTGCTCTCTCACTCTCTCTCATATGGTATTCACAGTATGAGAGTTTAAGCATGTTTGCATTGGTCATATTGTTGATTGGATTAAGATGTTTGATAAGGTGGACGTGAGGACAATTGGCGATATTTTAACCTAACAAAAGGTGAATGTACTAAACAAAGAGCTTTCAATGGGGTCACAAGCTTTTAACAACAGGTAGCAGCCTCCATGTGAAAACATCTGAGAATCAAACAAGATAAGAAAAAGACATGAATGATAGATAAAAACCATAGGGGCCACATGAACTGAAGAATCAGGGTGATGACTTCACTGCATCAGATGTAAATATCTCTCTCTCCCTCTCCCCCTCCCCATGTCGATGCAAATTGACTTATGAGTTCTTGAGTGAACAGTAGTATCAGTACTCATAGCTGCACAATTCTTTATCAATGTACTCGATTTTTGTAGTTAGATATCGAAGCTTGATCCAAATCTATCAGCAAGCAGATGGTAGATTACTTACTTAAAGCAGGCAGTATAGCTATTTCTATATATATCCTTGGGTCTTTGACATCCCTTAAGGGTCAGTTTGGATCTAAGCAAACTTAAGAGGCTTAACAAGGATTACTAGATTTATGATACCTAATAGAAAAGCAAGTAAAGCACAGCTTTGTTAAGAGTTGACATCTGCTGTTAGTGGCAGGGAAGGAGTTAGATTTGGTGGTTAAGTTAAATGTAAGTAATTATTTTTCCCTACAAGAACTTGAAGATTTCTCTTGAAACCTCTCTGCATGCTTTGGTTCTTCCTTACAGGATATTTTGTTTCAGTTCCAAGTTTTCTGGTAAAACATGACGGAGAGAAGTCTTCCTCACATCCATTCAGACTATAAAAGAAAAACAAGATTCTGTTTTTATGTTTTTGGAGCCATGCAAAAGACTACTGTGGCCAATATAATGTGTACATCATCATCTGCTCTCCAACCAACCCCCCCCTCATCATGAATCATGCCAACACCACCCAGTAGCTTTCTCCAACAAAGCTCTCTCATCAAATACTTGTGAGAACCAAGTATGACCTTCAAAACATGAGTGACATGTTTGAGAGGAAAAGGAGAAGGATTCTGAGAAATAAAGAAGATAAAAGAACAAGGACATAAAGACAATGAAAGGTTTGAATTATATGTGACAGGAAGGTAAAAGAAGACAAACAAATACTAGTGATGGTAGATTTCTCGCTTCCTCTTATCCCTTGTTCTGGATCGATGGTCAGAACATGCTATTCCAGAAGTGTGTGTTCTGAATGTGGACTTTGATTCATCAAAATCATATTCAGAATTCATGCTTCTTTCTTTGACCATCACTATAAACAAATCAGGTTTGGCTATGTTAATAATTTCAGGTAATTATAAATAAATTTTCAGTCTTTAAAAATTCACAATGTTGACCAGCTTAAATTTTCGGGAATTTACGGGTAAAGTTCAGAGCAGGTTCTCTGATATAAATTTTCAGGTACAGCTTAAACTAAGACTTGCTGGATTTCGGATATATTGTTCTGGAAATGAATTAATATGATGCAAAACATGCAATTCCATATCAACTTGACTCTGATGTGATATAGATGGAATGTCTTTGAAACCTGAATAACGTTTTTAATGGTTCCAATATCTCCTAACCTCTGGGAGGATTTTGATCAGAACAGTCAATCCTCCAATAGCTAAATTTCTCATGAACTGTTTACTGTTAATCTCACATGGACATCATTATTCTCATCAGGCTTCCTTAACAAAACAAACTGCAATTTTTCTTCAAGAAGTCTGATAGGAAAAGAAAAGAAAACAAAATATCATGAACAACATTTCTTTTTGACAAGTCAAAGCCTACCTACAGACTACAAAATGTTTGAGGGGGTACAAAAACTGGTGTAATTTCTGAGAAAATCTTCGAGAAAATATTTAAATCTTATTGGTCTCAGAGATACTGCTGAGCAGGATAATCTTTCAGACAAAGACTCCTCATTATTGAGAGATGACAATTTTCTGCTTTCTGGTAACCTGTAGAAAATATAAGATGGACTTCCGTTACTTCTGGATGTGGTCATAGAGGAGGCCGCATCTATTGCAAAGTTTCATTGCACTGCACACACACAAAGAAAAAGAGAGCATCCAGTTGAAACACCAAGGCATACGGTCAAGCTCTGTCACAAGATGAAGCCCTCTCCCTTTCACCCCACCTGCCTCTTGTATCATTCATAATCTGAACGGTGTCGTGTGACATCCTCCTCACGACCCTCATCTCTGTTTCATGTGTGAGGCATGAGTTCACCCACCCCTGACTCAGTTCTTGTTCCCATCTGTTGATAGCCCTCTCTCGTCTTGACCAACACCAGAAATCAACGACTCTGTGGCTGCCACTTCCACCATTCCAATCTCCAACACTCTTGTGGTCTCTGCCATTTTTTTCACGTAGACATGCCTGACCTGTATTAATTTTGAGCACACAGACATGGACTCAACAACCACCAACATAACACGGTCCCCCAGCTCTATGTCTCCTTTTGAATCTTTCATGTCAATGAAAACTTTAATGCCGTAGTTGTGACAAGACAGCAGTTGGGTCCACTTGATCAGTCAATCGGAGACCTACACGTGACAAACATTTTAGTGCAGCTGGTTAATGGACCATCTCTTCTACATCTAACAACACCAATCAATTAGTATCGATGGACCGACAACAAAAATGATCATGATTTCTTTCAAGGTTATATATACTGCCCTTTTCACTCTATAAAATTTATCTACACTAGCAAGTACACGAGATATGCAAATAATAATAAACAATTAGAAACAATAATTGTATATGTAGATCTGCTCATGGAAGATCTGCTCAATTGTTCTTAAAAACAAAACAGTGATGTAAGATGCTATATCCTACAGTGAAGATCATGAATGGATTCAATTCCATGATTGGATCAAATTCCAAAATTGTGGATCGAGTTCCTCCGGATCGGGATTGGAGTTGTTGGGCCGGCAGTGACATCCCTTCTCATGAGCTATCAGAGAGGAGGATGAGATCTTCTGATGACTTGGAATGAGAATAGCAAACTACAGCGAACATAATGTTCATGGACAAATTACCATGACATGGCTGTTGTATGCAGATACTTTACAAATATCAAAGGGGTGTATATGCCACACTAAAACTCATAATCAATATAAAACATGTCAAACTAGATTTAAAATGTCTCTAAAATCATCAACAATAAAAAAATATGAATCCACTGCATAGATGCTGTTGTGCACATGTGGTGAAAATCTTAGGTGCAATGGATAAATATTGCTGACAAATTGCTTGTGTGAGACAAAATGCTCTATCCAAAGAGCAAAGCATGCCC